ACGTGTTTTCTCATTTTGACTGGGGCGGGGGGCTATTAGCACCTGCATGGATTACCTCCTCTGAGCTGGGAGAGGTGGGACAGGGGCCGGGAGCAGCGGTAGGGATGGTGGCCCAAAAGCCCTTTCCTGTGGGCTGGGAGCAGCGGGAGGGCTGGTTGCCGGGAAGCCCCTTCCTCTGGTCCAGGAGCAGTGGGATGGTGGCTCAGAAGCCCCTCCCTCTGGGCCGGGAATGGTGGGAGGGATGGTGGCCCTGGCGCCCCTTCTCTGGGCCAGGAGTGCTGGGACAGAAGGTGGCCCAAAAGCCCTATCCTCTGGGCTGGGTGCACCGGGAAGGATGGTGGCCCGGAAGCCCCTTCCTCTGGACCAGGAGCAGTGAGACGGCGGCAAGCACAACTTTTTAAAGGCAAAATCATTTTACATTCAGAGTGCCCATAAAAAGTTGTTTTATTTAGATATATAAATTCACGGTCAGAAGGGAATATTTGGCTTAATAACCAGAAGGCAGACATTGCTACTGGACTTACATGTCTTGAAGTAGTTATTAAGATATTGAAAGTAGTTCATCTAATTAGCAATAAACTCTTGGCCATGTCTTAAAGTCGCTCCTTGGAGGATGTCAGTGGCAGCTGCAGTCTCCAAAATGCTTGTTATGAGCAGGTGCTGTGCCGGTCACCTTACCTGCTCTTCCTCCGTGAAACAAGATGCACTCTCTAGCAGGATGGGTACAGTTACCTCTGCTGCCAGAGGAGGAGACTATAGCATAGAGAAGTAACCTGCAGCCGCTTTGTGGCAGAAACAAGGTGCGTGCAGCAGATGCTTTTTGCCCGTCACCTGCTTTCCTCGGTACTTGTGTCCACTGCCCCGCCTCCCTCCCTCCCTCCCAGATTTGATAGCTCCTGGCCAGGCACTGTTCCCAGTGTTCAGGTTAGGATCCAGAACAGTCAGGCACAATCCTTTATTTCATGCAGATTAGTTTACTGAGACAATAAAAAAGAACTAAACAAAATAAGGTAATTGTATCTTATAGTAAGTGCTCCAAGAGAAACTCACAGGCCTGGTTATAGAAGAAAATGCCACAAGGACCGGAAGGAGTTGGGGAAGCAAAGGAAAACTTGGCTGAAATAGGCAGGCCAGGGAAGACGTCTTTGAGATGTCCCTCATCGGTGACCTGAAGGAGGAGAAATGAGAATGTTGAGTGACCTCTTGGCTTTAAAGCAGGGGGTGATTTGGTTTTTCATTTGATTGTAGTAAGTTTGTTCTAAGAAGGTAATTATTGCTACTGCCTAGAGAGAGGGTTGAAGGGGTTCAAGCATGGGTAGAGGAACCAGAGAGACGTTTACTGCAGTGATGGGGTGCTGACTAGCAGTGGGGTAGGACAGGTTGGCAACCCTGGAGAGAAGCGGATGTGGGAGGCAGAACTGGAGACATGGATACGACGAGGGAGAGAGGATGCACTAGGAATTGCAGTTGGAGATGTGGGTTAGAGATTTAAGGCTGAAGGACATTAACACCTCTTTAATAACATGTGGGGGTTTATTTATTATCTCAACAAGAGTACTTAGCATGTGTTACCAAGGGTTACTGTAGGTAAACAGCACCGACAAATTCCTCCCTTGGTAGGACTGACTTTATAGGGGAGAAATAAAATGCAAATAAGATAAATACATCAAATCTATATTAGTATAAATATTAAAGAGAACAAAATGAAGCCAGGAAGGAGGATGCAGGATAGATGGGTGGGATGAGCAGAGAAGGCCCTGCCGAGATGTTCTCTGAGTGAGGACATAACTAACAGGTGGGGAAGTGGCGGTGCCTGTCTGGAGGAAACGCTTCCAGCACAGGAGAGCTGGGGCTGTGCAGTGACCAGGAAGGGAATGGGCTTCGTAGTGGGCTCCGATGTGAACCCGACACTTGAATGCATGTGCTGGACTCCAGTGACCAGGCTGGGAGGACAGAAGGGGACAGGAGACCTCCTCAGGTCCAGGGGAGCTGTGTCCCGGAACGCTGGGAGAGGGTGGTCCGGTCAGCAGAGTCAGGAGAGGAGGCAGGGGCAGGTGGCTGCTGCCGCAGCAAGTGTTTCACTGCTGAGAACATGAGAATGTTCATTTTTTTACTTAACTGACGAAAGAGGTTAAGTCATTAGCTGAGATTTACAGCAAGAGTCAAATGTGCTCCAAGGGTAGGGGTCGAGAGAGCACAAAATAGTTTAAATCCTGATCTTGGGGAGAGGGGAAGAGATCTTGGAGTGTGTCAGGGTTTCTGTGCCTGTTTAAGATTTGTGGCCATGAATTTTATATGAAACCGCTCACAGTTGTATGATTTTTCTACAGCAAGATAAAGCTGCTCAAACACAAGCAGAGCTCAGTGGTGGGGATTTGGCCGGGGAGGATGAGGACATTTTCCAGGGAGAGGAGGGGAGGGGCTGGGGGCAGTGGGGTTCGGGGGTGGGGTGGACAGTGGTGCGTGTGGTTCTCAGAGGCTGCTGTCGGGTGTCTCGCGCACACGGCTGGTGGGTGAAAGAGGGGCTCACCAGGAATACGGACGCCCGGAAATGACCCTGTTTGATCTTGGTCCTCTTCCAGAGTCGTCACGACTTTCATGAAGGCATTAGAGCTGGTAAGTGACAGAGTTGTTTCCCATGGGCCACCAGGGAGGAGGGATTTGTGAGCATACAGTTAATTAATGGTGGCAACTTTATTAATGAAAACTAAACTTTTGTAAAGATCGCAAAGTTGTGTGTGTTAAAATATAAGCATCTGCAGCCAGGCGTGGTGATACAGCGCTGTAATCCCAGCTCCTCAGAAGGCGGAGGTAAGAGGGTCACAAGTTCAAGCCCAGCCTAGGCAGTTTAACAAGATCCCATCTCAAAATACGATTTTAAAATCACTGAGGATATAGCTCAGTGGGAGAGCACTGACCTTGAATGTGGAAGGAAGGCCTGGGTTCACTTCCCAGCACCACAAAAATAAAACCATCTAGAATATAAAGGGAGGTCAGTCTTTGAAACTAATATATTATTATTATTATTATTATCCGGAGATCAAACTCAGGACCTTGCACTTGTGAGGCTGGCGGTGGCACCACTGAGCTAAATCCCCAGCCCCAAACTAATATTATTTTTTAAATTCTCCTGACTTGGCCACTGCTCCCTTATTTGCTTACAGGTCAGAGCCAACCCTGCCCACAGTCAGGTGACTGCTTCATGGGCTTGTGAACTAACTGCTTCTGAGGCCTGAGACGTTTTTATTTCCTTGCAGAAAGCCCTTGGTTCTCCCTCCCTTCCTCCCGCTTCGTACTGGGCAGAAAGTAGAGCAGTGGTCAGACCCTGCCATCTGCCTTCTTGTCTGTCCCTGAGCAGTTAGACCTTGACGTGGAAAACACATAGGCCATTATGCTTCCACTTCTGCTCATCATCTCCGTAGCCAGCATATTTTTAAAAAGCAGGTGAAGTCACTGATTTTTTTTTCCTAGCAAACTACTTAAAAAAGTACAGGCTTTTTTTTCTTTCTTCTTCTTCCTTCTTCTTCCTTCTTCTTCCTCCTTCTTCCTCCTTCCTTCTTCTTCCTTCCTTCTTCTTCCTCCTTCTCCTCTTCTTCCTCCTTCTCCTCCTTCTTCCTCCCCCTCCCCCTCCTCCTCCCTAGGGATTGAATCCAGGACCTCACACAAGCTAGGCAAGTGCTCTGTCACTGACCCTCCCCAGCCCTGGGTAGGCTTCATGTGAGTGAAAAGTTTGTTCTCTGAATCTAAGCTTTGGTAAACACCAACCCCTGCTGTAGAATTCTTAATTTCTGACATGATACAATACCCAAAACCAGCACAGGGTTCCAACCCTTTTGGAAGATACATGAGGTTGAGTCAGAGCAGATGGCTGTATGTTTTATAGAAACCAATTAAAATACAGATTTTCCACACCAGTGTCCTGCAGATTCTTGCTCAATGGGGATTAGAATCTAACCCTGTCATTTTAGGAGGACATGTGTACTATTGTATTTGTATTATGTTGCTAACATATTCATTGTTATGATAGTCCTCCAAAAGAAAGGTATTATTATTATTATTATTATTTTGGTACCAGAGATTGAACTCGGGACCTTGCACTTGCAAGGCAGGCAGCAGAACCACTGAGCTAAATCCCCAGCCCGAAAGGTATTATTTTTAGAAGTTTTGTTATTTTAAGAAAAAAATTGAAATCAAGCAGCATCAGAATTCTGATTCAAAAAGAAGTGCTTATCAGCTGCCTTTTTAATGAGAGAAAATATTTCAGAAATATTCAGAAAGAACATTTATGACTTGAAAAACTAGTGTTCTTGCTACAATTTGGTGACTATAAAAATAAGCAAATTGGGAAAACAACTGTTTAAAAATTCTTACTCTTAAAATCTGGATAAGCTTTCTGGTAAGAGAAGAAGAAAAGATGGGTGCTCGTGCCAGATCTAAGTAGCCACCACATGGAGGTTGGGTGTCTCAGGAGGCCTCCTCGAGCTGCTGTATGGCAAGAGTTTATTTCTCCTCTAGGCAAAAGGGTTTGTCGCTTGAAATAAAGGGACACCCAGATTTGATTAGTAGTCTAGTTTTGTCCTTCATTGGAACCTCGAGGAGGTAGACAGCATTGACCAGAAGACTTAAAGGAAATTCTCACGGAAGGAGGGTCCCATGGTCATCGTCTGTGATGTCCAGGGAAGAGAGAACTCAAACTGGTAGGGATCAGAACATCAGTATTTGATATCACTGCCCTGTCTCACTCCAGAACCCCAAAGTACATAGCCAAAGCCTGAGAACCTTCAGCATTGAGCCAGGCACAGTGATGTTTACCTGTAGTCCTACCTACTGGAGAGGTTGAGGCAGGAGGATTCCTGAATCCACAAATTTAAGATCAGCCTGAGCAACACAGATCCTGTGTCAGAATCAGCATTGCAGTATCCATTTCATTATATATAAAGCTTTCTTCCCTCCACCTACCCAGGCAGCCTTCTTAACTGTTTAGCCTTTTAACACTTCAACTAGGTTTCTCAGTTCTTTGTAATTTGTATATTTAAATGTTCCCAGTCCTCACTGGAATTGTGCACACTTAAGCATGGTTGAGATTTGCCACCACAACTGTGCTTTTTAAAGATATTGTGGATTCACACACAGTTGTGAGAGATAATATTGAGAGCCGCCCAGTTTCCCAAATAGCATTTGTGTCACTGTAGTGTACTGTCACGACCACGAAATAGGAACGTTCTTTCTGAGAAGTGGTAATAGATTGCTTCATGCTCTCAGTCCTGTGGGGATATTATCTGGTGCGCTAAGTGATGACCACATTGAAATAGAAGTAGAAGGTTTCAGGATAACCCGACTGTGGTATGATTTTTAAATTTGGAGCTATCTTGAACTTGAGGATTTGCAGAACAGTAGCAGTAGTCGCCACATTTAACGATGGCTAAAGTCTTCCCTCCACCTTAAGTGGTTAGTTTTCCTCCCAAAACCAAATGTGGAAGAGGTTGCAGAGCTGACCCTTTGCCTTCCCTGTAAATAACACCAACACTAGTGTTAGCTGTTTTGTAGCATGGAGATTTTATTCAAAATTTTGTCTGAAGTGGGAAAAAAGAATGTTAAACCACTGAATTAATTCAGGCATTACTAAAGCTGGTGACATGAAGGTTAGAGATGAGAAAATACTTGCACTGAATAACAAAAATACGTCATCTGTTCAAATTCTTTGAGGTTTGAATTTGGAAAAAAAGTAGAACATGTACAAAACTTTTTTAACTTTGCAGAGAAGACGTGCTATAGAAAGATACACCCATTCAAGAGAGTTTGTCGGTTTAGTAATTAAAATCTGATTGTACCAGAAAGAAACGTCCCAACATGTGCATCTTCTTTTAACATCTGTATTTTTTTTTTACAGTTTTAATTGATAAAGACCAGAGTCCAAGGTGGAAACCAGCTGACCTAAAAGAAGTGACTGATGAAGAGTTGGATGATTATTTTAAATCACTGGGAAGCAATGATTTGATTCTTTGAAGTAACTGTTCTTTTCAAAATACTGCACATTTTGGAGCAAGGGTTGGCAAAGTATAGCACGTGGGCCAAAGCTGGCCTGCTGTCCATTTTTATCTAGCCTGCAAACTAGGCATGGTTTTCTATTTTTAAATGGTTGGGAAAGAAATCAAGACTAATACTTTATGACATGTGAAAATTGTAATAGCTCAAATTAATCTTTATGGGAACATAACTGCACCGTCTCCTTACGTGTTGTCAGTGGCTGCATTGAGTACTGGCAGCAGGACGTGGATGACCTGCAAAGCCTAAAATCTTGATTGTCTCATCCTTGTGAGAAAGTTTGCCAACCCCAAAAGGGGAAATCCTAATGCCTCTGAAGATTAAGTAGTTATATCTAATTGAATTAGGAGCTTTGTTTAAGCAACATATAAACCAGTACTGAAAGCTAAATACAAACTTGGGTATAGATTATAAAAAAGATCTTGAATTTTGGGGGAGTATTCTGTGTAAATGCTCAATAAACTTTTCTTTGAGTATATTTTTAAGTAAATTATTTTACCAGATGAGTTCCTTTTATAATCATGAGAAATCATGGGCAAAGACAGATGTGTCTGTGAAATCATGTCTACAACACATTACGTCAGCCTTGGCCTGACCAGCAAGCCTTCTAGTGGAGAGAAAGCATCATTTTTTGTCAGGCGGAGTATTTGCTAGTGGGGGATTAATAAACTCCAGTCTCTAAGACACACTCTGCTGTTTGTAATTTAAACTTTTGTATAAAAAGTTAAAAGCAGTTTAAAAAACCTTCAGTAATTGGTACAAGTGTTTTTTAAGGTATGCAGGAAGCTTCAGGTTGTTCCAGGCTTAGCATCCTAAAGTCCTAGGTAAGAATAATTTCTATGTTAAAGGTCAATGTATTGTTTATCTGTAACTTGTTATAGCACTTCCACCCAACCCTGAGAAACTGTGAACTTTAAGTATATGAGAAGAAAAATCCAGCAGGGATGAAAGGGCGTCAAGGTGACAGCCTGCATCCTCCTTACAGATGCGAAGATGCAGCCCAGGAGGCATTGCTTAAATTTTCTTTCAGAAAATTCAGGAACAAAGTTGGAATAAAGATGCTATGACATGTTTACATTTATATTTTTAAAACTCTCAAATTGGACCTAAATAATTCAAGAAATTACACAAATGTTGATTCATACAGTGTTGAAAAAATTTGCTTCAAGTAAATAACTCATAGGTAATTACAACTGGAATTTATTGTACATTTACAAAAATGTACTCAACAGTATTTGGAAAAATATAACACTTGACAGCTAGCTGTTACAGGCAAGGGGATTTGCTAACAGAAGCTGAGTTTTGTAAATTAAGACACAGGCGACACTCCTGAGCAGTGCTCACAGGGCTTGCTTGGTCATTACAGACTGAGGGCGAGGGCATTTTGATTGAACCATATATTTTTTCAGAACTTTGCTTTTAAACTACTGTTTTCTGACATTATGTGTCTCTTACCTTGTGATTTCTGAAACTTTGCAATACAAGAGTAAACTTCCACATCACCTCATGAAGTGCCAATCCTACTTGGTAGGAGGTGAGTACCATGCTATTTCAGTGTTGATTTTTTAATGCTAAGTTTGACACAAATTCTTTTGGGACTAAAATGATAATAATTTTTGTCTCCTTCAAAATTGTGCTAATAGCCAGAGGTGGTTTGCAAACCAATAAGGCAACAAAAAGTGGAGAATCCCAGGACCAGGGGCCTGGAACTGAAAGGCAGCAGCGCGGGAGAGGCCACTGGGGGGTGGCAGTGGGAAGCTGGCTGGTGGGGCTGGTGGGGTCTCTGACATCTGGAGCAGCTCGTTTATTTCCGTCAGTGGGCTTTCTCAGCTCCAGTTGTACTTCCTGTACCAGGAGAGGCTCCTGTCCTGACCTTAGTGCAGCAGGACTTTCCCTTTCCAGTGTCAGTGGCTCTTGCAGCATCCCATTTTATAGGGCTTCTTTTGTTCTACCTTTTCCTGAAAGTTATCAAAGACGTTGTCATTGTCACTGAGGCCAAACTGTACCCTCATAATTGTCACGTGTAGCGTAATTTTACTTATTCTTCCCCCACATGGTTTATCCATTGGCTCACCAATTATGTACGCCTTATGGTTCCTTGTTCAGGGTTGCTGCTTGGTCATAAAACTGCTAGATATGGATGGGACAGGCTCATACTTCTTTCGGAAATGGGGGCAACAGGGCACAGGATTCTAAAGTTAAACTACTTAGATGGAACCAGAACACACTAGTCATATTTCTGTTTATTCTGGAAAATTTGTGATGTGTTGCTTTATGTTCTCACTATAGTATATATTATTTTATATACTTATCTTTAAATGGCAAATGACCTTGCAGCAAAAGTATCTTGAGTTGAGGTGGAAAATGAGTGAAAATCATCTAGGCTTTTGTCTGAGTCCTTAGTATAAACACTTTATGAGTTGTAAATGTTTAGTACTTTAGGAAACTTTCTGCCCTTAGCCTAATGACTTCAGACCCTTGTATGAACAGGAGGGGTTCTCTTCTTATACAGGCTGCAAATACAGTGGAACAGTGTAAATCGTGGGGCGAGGTGAAATTCAGGCTGAACGATTAGGTGTCCAAAAGCAACCGAAAGGTGCCATACACCCCTCATTTTATCTTTTCATTGTGGGTTTCAAAGTATTGGTAAAAGTAGAGGTAGTTTTTCTGTTGCTTACAGGGCCAGAAGCCGCCTTCTACTTTAAGATTTCAGTAACACTGGTGTATTATATCTTAATAAAAGGATCTAACACATATGGGCTTAGTTTCCAATCAAGCTCACTGTGTAGCAAATCTTGACAAAAAAGATGATTCTAACCTAGAGACTTAATCCTGTTTTTATCTTTGAACTACAAATACTATTTAATCCTTTTTAAAAGTATACTGTGACAGTTTTAAAAAGCTTAATTTATGAAGATATAGGATATAGGAAAAAAATGCCCTACAGGCATGTGCTACACCTAAAAGCAATACACGTGGATTCCCCCTGGAGAAGCATTCTGCCTTGTGTGATGCGACTGGAAGTGCTCACCTATGACCTAGAAAGTGACTGCCCCACGGTTAGTAAATAACCTGGGAACAAGTGGCCCCTGACCAGCAGCAGCATCTCAGCCAGGAAAGTGTCCGATCCAATTCATGTTAACACTAGCTTCCGTTTTCTACCTTGCAGGCGAGGCTTCTGCTACTTTTAAGATTTACTGACTTTTTATTTTCCTAAAAAGCAATTAAGTTCATGGTTTCTTAATTGTATCTTAAGATGGCTGTACAGTAAAACCTTGGTTTGTGAGAATTCATTCCACCCGTAAACCAAAGCATTTGTATATCAAAGCAGTGAGGGAGAGAACCGGTTGTGATCATGTGACATTCCGCATGATGTACTACTCATCAAGTTAAAATTGCTTAGAAATGTTTTGCTCATCTTTCAGAACACTCATAAAGCAAAGTTACTCGCAATCCAAGGTTTGACTAGATGCAAAGTCAGCTGTAGCTCGTTAGGGCACTGAGGTTCCAGGTGGAACCTCTTCTGGACATACGGCTTTCTCACCCTGTGGCTTTGACAGACAAAACTCACTGCTGGTCACTTTGGTGTGAGTTCCTTTCTCTTGCCAAGGCATTTTGAGAAAAAAAACACTTCCTGTCTGGGAATTTTTTTTGGTAGACATTAAATTAATTTTCTGTTAATTTTTTGAATTTACGGCTTTTTATTCCTCAGTGTTTTCTTTGGTGATGCCATTACCGCGTTGGATGAAGGTGGTGTGACATACACCTGAGTGCTGGGTGCTATAGGTCCCCCATTCAGCCCTTCCATTACCAGACCCAGGAGCAAGCAGAGCTGCTTGCCACACACCTCCTGAGGTGTTCCTGCACTAGTGACATGACCACACACGTTTTCACATGCACTTAGTTTTGCTTTTGGTTCATGTATTTATACTAGCACCGGCTCAACCCACAGTTGAGCAACGTGCGACACCCTGCATGCAGGGTCAAGGGCCCTCACTCTCAATGTAGGGGATGTCCTGGTACTTGATGCTGTTGCGTGCCCACTGCTGCAAGGCATCACGCAGGATCTCCCGGGACAGGCAGTCTGCATACTCGGTGACCCTAGGCTCTGCCTTCATGTCCCCTTGGGCGTTACATGGAGAAGACAATCTACATAACCTGTCTTCTGGCATAAACCTTTCTTCACTCCCACACTGCCTCTCCATCTCAAAGTTGGTAGGAAATGGGGAAGTTTGCTTTGATTTCATGCAGCCCATGTTACGAAGAGTCCTGAGCAAACGAGAGCAGTAGCAGAGGCTGCGCCAGTAGTATCAGTGGAAAGCAGTGCAGGTCCGGCTGCCCAGCGCTTGTCTTCTCCCCTGATTCAGTGGTCAGTGTTCCCTTCACTCTTCATCAGTGTCTGTCAAGAGAAGGGAGTTTGCACGTTGAAGTCATAGAATGCAAAAGAATGTTCCACTCAGTGATGTGGACACTACGTTCTTTTTACTACTTTGGTCACTTGGAAGAAATGTGAGGTAACACAACTTTGCAAGTAAGGAAAAATCACTCTGTAAAATCAGCATTTAAAAAAAAACAGGGAAGCAGTTTTTCAAGCTCTTAAACTTTGCTCTCTAGATTTGTCTATTCATGTGAACAATAGGCTTTTGGACTAAATTCCAGCCACCTGTTTAGAACACAGCCATGCTCATTTTCTATGTGTGGTCAAGAGTGGCTTTTATACTACCAGAATTGAATAGTTGTGACAGACTGTGGCCCATAAACTAAAATATTTTCTATCTGGCCCTTTACAGAAGATGTTTGCTGACCCTGATCTGCATTGTCAAGAGAATCAAGCATATCAAACTATTCCTAGAGCAAAGCTGGTTGACAATGGAGATTGTCTCGGTTGTTATCCCGAACATGTAGTGACTTCGATGTGTATCTACTTTGTGCTGTGAGGGATGGTTAAGAACTGCACACAGTTAACATACAAAATATTACTTAATGAGTCTCATAAAAGGCTGTGGGAGAATCATCAGAATTGCCTGTGTTATCTAGGATCTTTGGTTTTGCATAAGCAGCTTTTTCTTATTGGTACAAAGTAACTAGTGCCTGATTTGCTCCCTCTCCCAAAACAACTTTAAACCTGGAGAAAATACATGTGACCAGGTATTTTCAGGCATCAGCAACCCAGTACTGTGATCCCTGAGAGACAGGAGATACAAGATGTTAAATCCCACACAGTTGAGCATCCCAGGGAGGGTTTGCTTGATATCTTCTAGCATTAGCATAGAGAGACTGGGCCCAAGATGGGCTGAAATTCTGTTAAGCAGCATCAGAGGTTTGGACTACTTGAATAACTGAATTTAGAAGACAGAGTTTAAGAAAAGGAGAGCCAAGGGAGATAGGCAGAAATTTGCATGAGGACTTGCCAAGGATAAGGACCACTAAGACCTAGCAAAAGATTTCCTGCTTTGGGACCTAGAGTGGAACAGTGAGCCCAGAAGTTATATAGTACTAAAAATTCTTGGTGTTCAAGTGGAGAGATCTCCTGAACACACAGGCATCAACTACTACTCAGGAGAATACCCTAAAACGGAATTGGCAAAGGTTTTCTTAAAAGAGCTAGAAAGTATGTGGCTTAGGCTTGTGAGCCACATTGTTATAGACCAAATGCTCCTTCCCCCGCCCTTTGCCAAATTCACAGGTTGAAACCCAATCCCCAGGGTAATGTCATTTGGAAATGGGGCCTCTTAGGGTGTCAGTGCCCTTATAGAGGAGACCCCAGAGAGCTCTCTTCCCCTCACTGCCACATGAGGACACAGCAAGAATGTGCTATCAACTAGGAATGAGCCCTCAACAGACACTGATTCTGCTAGTGTCTTGACTGAGTGGACTTCCAGGCTCTGGAACTATGAGAAATATATTTCTGTTGTTATAAGTACCTAGCCCACGGTATTTTGTCATGGCAGCCTGAATGGACTGAGGCACATACAGTGTATGTCACAATTACTCATTTCTGGTATTACAGTACAAAGTAGCCACAAACACTGTAAATACGTGGGTACTTCATTTACAAAAACAGTCAGCTTGGCATTGGCCAGGTCAGGTTAAATTCAAGTAGTCTCACTCTTAGACTAGAACTCAATACAAGAGTGCTTGGCCGCAGGCTGACACACCATCGGGGAGCTGCGCCTCGACCTTCCCTCGCCTTGTACTTTCTACCCAAGCCCCACTGGACCCCAACTCAGACCCAGCCTGGCCGGGGTGGCGGCCTGGGCACAGGGACTGTTGCGTGGGCCAGGCGAGGAGCTGACGCCTTCCTCCCTGATGGTGCCTGGTGCGGGTGGCAGTGAGCATGGCATAAACTTTCCGCCTGGCTGCAGCTACCAATGGGCTGATAACTCAATGAGGAGGCACACCGGCTGCCAGTTTGGCCTTGTGGTCAGACACGGGTAGCTGTGCCCTGCTCCTAATCCTTACGGCTTGCTCCACTCACTTGCATCCGAGAGACCATGAGGACCCCCCCCCCCAGGCCCACCGGCCATCCAGCCAGCATCCAGAATTCACTGCTGAATTCTACAAGACATTTAAAGAACTATCACCATTATTCTTTAAACTTATCAAGGAAATTGAAAGGGAAGCAAAGCTTCCGAATTCATTCCTGGAAGCAAGTATTACTTTGGTTCCAAAACCAGGGAAAGACACAACCCAAAAAGAGAATTACAGGCCAATCTCCCTAATGAACTAGATGCAAAAATCCTCAACAAGATACTGGAAAACAATACAAAGGGTCATCAAGAAGATCATACACCCTGACCAAGTTGGATTTATCCCAGGGATGCAAGGATGGTTCAACATATGTAAATCAATAAATATAATACATTATACTAACAGAGCCAAGGACAAAAACCTTATGACCATCTCAATAGATGCAGAAAAAGCATTCGACAAAATCCAACACCCATTCATGATAAAAACCCTACAGAAAATTGGAATAGGAGGTCTTTATCTCAACTTCATTAAGGCTATCTATGAAAAACCAACAGTCAACATCATACTAAATTGTCAAAAACTAAACACTTTGATGCTAAAATCAGGAACAAGACAAGGATGCCCACTATCACCACTCCTGTTTAATATTGCTCTTGAAACATTAGCCAAAGCAATTAGGAAAGGAAGAAGTTAAACTATCATTATTTGCTGGTGATATGATACTTTACATAGAAGACCCAAAATACTCTGCCAAAAGACTTCTAGACTTAATTGACAGATTCAGTAGAGTAGCTGGATATAAGGTCCACACTCAAAAAACAACAGCCTTTTTATATACAAATAGTAGACTGAGAGAGAAATTAGGGAAACAATTTCTTATACAATAGCATCCCCAAAAATGAAATAGCTAGGAGTCAATTTAACAAAGGAAGCAAAAGACCTCTACACTGAAAACTATAGCACTTTGAAAAAGGAGACTGAGCAGGATATAAGAAAATGGAAAGACATCCCTTGTTCCTGGATAGGAAGAACCAATATAGTGAAAATGGCCACACTTCCAAAACTATTAAATAGGTT